TAATAATATATACGTCCTTTTGCCAAATTTACGAGAATTTTAACTTGCAAAATACAAGTTTACTTCTATTACTTAAACTACAAAATAATGCGACTTCAAGGCACGATTTTATCGTTTAGCGAGTGTACTTTTATTATAAAATTACATTTTGCAAAGAAAATTTATATGAAAGTGTACAAAGTAATTAATGACGTTAAATAGACAATAAAATTTACTATAAACTGATATATAAAAATACATACATTTCTGAACAAAATTTCTGAGAATTTTAGCATAAAAATGTCGATAAGCATTTCACGCACGATCGTAATAATTATTGAGGTTGCGCGTGCACTTTTTTGACGAAATTAAATTTTGCAAAAAAAATTGTATGAAAGTGCAAAAAGTATATATTGTTAAATAACCAATAAAATTTACTGTAAATCTGCATATAATAATATATACACCTTTTAACAAAAATTACGGAAATTCAGCGAAAAAACTTTCACAAAAAGACTATAATTGATTAAGCTGTATAAAAAATAATTAGACTACTATAAATGACTATTATAAAATAAGGATTTGTGGTAGGAAGGTGAAAATTTGGAGTTGTATGTATCTTTTAATTACATGTTACAATAAAGAAGATTTTTCTCAAAATTTAACCCAGAATTTAAAAAAAATGTTAGGTGTGGACAAATCTTCATAGAAAAAAATGTTGCTTGAAGTAAAAATTAAGTTGTTTCATAAATGCAAAAAAATCTGAGCTAAAATTAAGTCAAAAACATTCATGAAATGAATGATGAAAAATTATTCCATACTATTATGAAATAGTGGTTTGTGTTAAGGGGGTAAAAATTTAGGGCTCTACGTATTTTTTCAATTGAACATTATAGAAAAAATTAAAATAAAACAAAATTGGGCCCAAAATTTAAAAAAAAGATGTTATGGGTATACAATACAAACAATATATGATAAACTTAATTAAAAATGAGTTTAATTTAAGTTTTTCCATAAGTTTAATAAGATCTATATATACAAATTCAGTACAAAACATTGACTAAAAGCAGGATAAAAAATTGGTCAAAGACTTACAAAATAGAGGTTTGTGGTAAGAGGCTGAAATCTTAGAATTGTACATGGTTTTATCTACATATATATATATATATATATATATATATATATATATATATATATGTATAAATTTTATTACCTGTTCTTCAATTGTATGTCCACATTGCTCCGATAAGTCCATAAAATACAAGACGCATGCTCTTAAATGAGCAAGAGCTGTTACTGCTTGCATTTCTATAACATTTCGTTCTTCCAAAGAATGATCCAGGATTCCAGGAGTGTCTATCACCTTAAAAATAATACAAAAAATATAATTAACATAAAAAATAAAAATACATAAAACACTGAACATAATAATAAGAATGAAATACTTATTTCAGATAACATAGTTTTAATGAATATATTTCAATTCTTGTTTAAAATAATTATTTCTATTTATCAATTTACCTGCCAACGTAAATATTTATAGTCTGTGTGTCCAACATATAAACTTTTAGTTGTGAATGCATAGGGTTGTACTTCTACATCAGCTCTAGTAATCTGGAATTAAAAAATGATTTAATTAATTAATATTCACTAAACTTACTTTGTGTTAATGTAATTGTATTTATATAAAGCAGAATTAAATATATGTATTTTCTGTACTAACTTTATTTATGAAGCTAGATTTTCCAACATTTGGGAACCCACAAATAATCATAGTCCTTGTGTATGGATCAATACTAGGCAAACGTGCTAAATGTTGACGGACCTAAATTATAAATAAATACTTTAATCACACATTCTATAAATTATTTATAAAAACAATTCAGTGGCTGGGAAGCTCATACTTGTTCTAAATAGGTTAAATTAGCAGCTTGTCTTTTCATTATCGTGGCCATTCGACCAAGTGCTGCCTTTTTAAGTTGTTTACAACGATACAAAGAGTCTCCATACTTAAGCAATCGCACATAATCTTTTGCAACACTAAAACATAAAACATACATTAATAAAATTCAACCTAACCTTTGTTGACATACATATGTATTTTTTCTTACTTGTCTATTAAATGTCTAGCGGTATTCAGTTGTCCCAAACCAAGTTTATAATGATCCTTATCATACAAAACGTTCATCAAATCAGCATAAAAGGGATGGACATCATCTAATTTTGGAAATTCTTGGATAATCTGTGAGAGCCTATCGTGGAAGTTCTGTTGAGTGAATTTCACTTTACGCATATAAAACGCACGTATCCTTGATATTTTATAATTCCTGTGAATAACTGTCGGTGTTTTCCTTTGGGTTTTAGATAGAATGATATCTATAAAGTCCTAAAAAATAAAAATAGATTTGTCATACATCATGAGTGGTATATAAATATTTTTGTTCAAATTTATATTTTATACACACCTTTGCCGGAGGCACAACGGCGATTTTTTTAAAGTTATAAAGACTCATTTTTATGTTTTTTGTATCACGATTTGTTATAAATAAATATAAATTTATCACTTATAACCTAAAAAGACGTCCACAAAATTTCAACACGTGAGTTAAAAGAACGAGAACAACTTCACAACGTTGAGATGTCAAAATACAGGCAGAGTAAAAAGTGTTGCCATGCGTTAAAAACCGTTAAATTTAAACGGATTTTATTCAAACTTGAAAGAATCAAATTTTTAATTTATTTAAAATATTTATTAAATGATTATTAGTAGTAACTTATATATTTATGGATGTTATTAGCTACTCAACAATAATTTCGTAAATGATTTAAGTTAAATAATTGACCACAAGTAATAAATTATTTGATATAAATCGTTTTATCTATGATTAAAAATGTGAATAATATTGTTAAATACATATATGAATTTATTATATAATATTACAACAAAAATTTAACATTTTATAAATGTCAACAATGTATTTTATGTTATTAACACCTACAATTCTATTTAACATTAATATTAAATTCATGTATTTAACAAATACACACTGCATAACTTATTTTACCCTAAATAACACAACAATCAGTGTTGGTATGAATTTGAAACATTTGTACACTTATACCTAAATATTTTTTTATAATTCTATTTCAAACTATCTCAGTAGTTTGATCACTTCCAACAGTAGCCTTACCACTAACCTCTTCCAACTGTTCGATCCTTTTGGCTTCCTCGACAATTAATTTTAATTCCTGGACACCTCTTTTGATATACACCAATTGGTCGCATGTATTGTCCTTTGGCAACTTTAATTTTTCACCTCTATGTTTTGATAAAAATCTATACATTTGCCAACATGCTCCTTGGATTTGGCTCAGATCCAGATTGGATGTATGGATGACTTCTTTGATACGTTCGATTTTTGTTTCCCAGTAGCTGGTGGTCTTTTTAGCTTTTTCATAAGTTTCCTAGGGAATAAATTTATATATATATATATATATATATATATATATACATATATATATATATATATATATATATATTTTACTTACTCTTAAATCGTGCATAATAACATTATGTTTAACGACTTCTGGTGCCATATCAATCTCCAATTTTCTGACCTCATCAATAGTACCATTTAAATTCTTCAATTCAGATTGTTGTTCATTGTAAATTCTATCTTTGCACATCACTTAAAATAAAAATAATAAAAATAAATAACATTTTTAAAAAATAAAACTACATTTTCTCTAACAGACTTAGTATGAAATTTGTAACTTTAAAGAAATTGATACGACTTAACAAAAAATTAAGAATGTTCTCTTAATAATTATGCTAAAATAGCAATAAAAGCCTTTTAACCCATTCTTGTCACATTATTGCAATCATGAAAATGAAAGTAAAACTAACAATAATTTAAAATTTATTTTCTTGAAAAAATCTGAACAAATCGTAATTGTTTTGTAATTTTAGATAAATCCCTCAAAATTAAAATTATAATTAAATTAAAATTTGTGTTAAAAAATTAGTAACACTTAAATGTTCATATATTTTTGTTGAAAATTTACTTAAACTGATATTAGTTAGATTTATAAATATTATAAATATTCATATATTTTGTTAAATTATATTATGTTAAATATTTATATATTTTGTTAAATATTATTAAATTATTATTCTACTTTTATGAGAAATAATTAATTTATAGAATTATCTGCTTATTTTTTAGTTATAAAATTTGTAACACAATGTATGAGAAATTTATAATATTGGCATTTATTATTTTAATTTATTATTATATATATATATATATATATATATATATATATATATATAACTCACTTATCGATTCATAATGATTCAAAATATCCATAGGTGTCTGGTATCTAGTATTTCGTAACATTGCAACATTTTTTAAAAATAGCTAGAATTAAAATTTGGAATTAATATTATGTTTTTTTATAATGTATATATTATATATAATGTTATACCTCATACATATTATATTTTTCAATATTTTCTCTTAAAGATATTATTAAATCTTTGTAATATTCAATTTTGTCATTGTGCTCTTGGATTTCTTCTTGTAACTCTTTTTGTTTTTTTCGATTTGTTTCTATCTGAAATTATAAATAATTTATATATATATATATATATATATAAATATTTATTTTTTTCTGAAATTTATAATAGTTTTTCGTGTTATAAAATAATTGATAACTGCAAGACATTTTTTCAATATTTGTTTGATATCTTAAAATTTTCTTTAAATACTTATATAGTATTTCATATAAGCATAAAACTTATAAAATTCTTCACAAATTGTAATTATTTATAGAACTATACTTATTTTATTCAAATTTACAAATAATATTAAAATCGCAGTATTTTCCACAAAGTCGTATATTTTGATCATGTCCGGGACGTCTTTTCAATATTTGTTAAAATATTTAAAAAAATTTCTTAACTATATAGGTAATATAGTATATTATATGAGCATAAAGCTGATCAAATTCACAAATTGTAATTATTTATAAATATACCTAAGTATATCTAATTTTTACAAATTTACAAAAAATATTAAAATCGCAGTATTTACATAACATCGAAGATTTTGTTAAAAATGTCTGGGACACTTTTTCACTATTTTTTAAACATCTTAAAATTTTCTTTGAATACCTATATTTAAATATATATATATAATCAAAAAACTGATAAAATTCTGCACAAAATGTAATTATTTATAAAACTTGTTTTAATTTAGAAAATTAACAAAAGTAATTACTAATCGAAGTATCTTCCACAAAATCGAATACTTTGTTACAAATATCCGAGACCCTTTTCCACTATTTTTCAAATATCTCAAAACTTTCTTTAAATACCTATATGATATATTTATATAATCATAAAGCTGATATAATTCTACACAAAATGTAATTATTTATAAAACTTGTTTTAAGTTAGAAAATTTACAACAAATATTAAGACTGGCAATATTTTCGAACATTTTGTCCAGGACACGTTTCCACTATTTCTCAAATATCTCAAAACTTTCTTTCAACCCCTATATACTATTATACATCACCATAAACCTTATAAATTCAGTACAAAGCTGCATATACAAAATTTTCAAAATTTGTTAATAACAATTTAAAACTTACCACTTTTGCAGACCGTTCTCTCTTGTCTCGATTCTCGATGACCAGCTTGTTATACCTCAAGGCGTTGTGTCGAACTTGAAGATCGATTTCTTGAATTTCTCTTAATTTGTTGTTGATTTTTTTGTGCTCTTTTGCTGCAAATCTCCTAGAAAAATAATAAAAATAATAATAAAAATATAAATAAAAATAATAATAAAAATAATAAATAAAATGACACTAATGTAATAAAAAAATATTTATAAATTAAGATAAAGTCAAACATTTTTTTAATGATGATGTTCGTGTAAGAGTTATTTATAAAATATTGTTTATATAATTTAATATGCCTACCAAACAGATTTAAGTATAATTTTACCTTAAGGAAAGTTCTACAATTTAAAAATAATTTATTTATCACTAATATTAAAAATATTAATATTTTTACCTAACATTTTCCAAATGTCTTTGAGCTTCTTCCAACTCTCTATTGACTAAAACTAAAGCCATTCCAGGTCCACTTCGAGCTACATCTTTTTCTGGAAACCTACTAAAATAATAATACTAATAAATTTATAAATTAACTCTTAATACAAAAAACACCTTAAAACGATTTCTAGACAAATTTTTGTAAGTACATTAAAAACATTGTAGTTGATCTGAAAATATTCAAATATTTTGACGGTGTGGTAAATTTTTAAAAATGCTATAAATTGTTTAAATATGTTACAAATTGTCTAAAAATGTTATAAATTATAAACAATGTTAATAAAGTTCATCCCTCTGAAACAAAAATAACACAAGTTCACTAAAAATCAATTTTAACCAGCCCTTGTATTTTTATTCCCCCATTACCAAGTTTTACTTCTATTAATAGAATTGTTTGTATTGTTTTAGATGACTGATGTAACAATTTATAAAAATCTTTTCTACTTACTATGATATTTTAGCAGTCTGTTTAGCCATAATATATTCCTCCAAAGCAATTTGTGGTCTGCAATCGAAAGGCACCAATAAACCAGGAGGTTTAACCGGTTTACCAACATTTTTTTTATCATTTTTACCACTTTCTTCATTTTTACCGCTGTCCAAATTAGCCATTTTGATAATAAACTCTTATTTATAATTATATTTTATCCTGAAGGTATTTATTTTTAGTTGAACTTGACAACGGTATTGATTTAACAATGCAGATACCACGTTGGGGTGGTAATTTTTAATATATTGATGAATGTAATTAATATAATCAAATTTTTATTTTATTTCTCGACTTGGGAATTTAATTCGTTACGTAATCACGCTCGTATATCGAATCGCTCGTATGTTGAAGCAATTAATTCCATATAAATAAATTGAAATGATATTAATTCGTTCCAGCGTTTTCGGTTTTGTCAAGTTTTTTGAATATAAAATATAAATTTATTATTTTTTATAATTTAATTGTCAGATATATTTATCTAGACTGGAACTAATGCAAATTTTTTGGAGGGATTTTTATCCATAAAGTTCAGAAAGTAGCTTATTAATATATTAATTATTTTAAGACTTTTAGGTAGATTTATAACCTTTTTATACAAAGTCTTTCATTTTAAACACAGTGCCTCATATTTCTTATTAATTTCACGTTTAAATTTAAGAGACATGAATATAAATAATATTTTGTAAATGTTCAAAAAGCACGAAACGCGAATTCAACATATATAAATGTACAATCACTATTAATATATAGTTAAAATTTCAAATGTTAAAATAATCTTCGATAAATTCATATAATTTGTATCTATTATATCTAATAACGAACAAATTGTATATCTTATTGAGTTCAGCGAGTGCGTTTTTTTGACAAAACTGCATTTTGAAAATAAAATTTATATGAAAGTATAAAAAACAATTAATGGCGTTAAATAACTAATAAAATTCAAAATAAGCTAATATATAAATATATATTCATTCCTAAACATAATTTAGCATAAAATTGTTGTTAAACATTTTATAGCATTTCACGGACGATTCTATCTATTATCGATTCAGCGCGGTCACTTTTTTGACAAAATTAGATTTTGCAGAAAAATTTGCATGAAAACTTAATAAACCAGTGAAAGGATTGAATAGACAATAAAATTTGCAATAAACTGATATATAATAGTATATACATTCTTTAACAAAATTTACGAGAATTTTAGATGCAAAAGGCTGGTTCGCATTTAATTACGATTCTATCTATGAATAAGTTCAGCGAGTGCACTTTTATGACAAAATTGCATTTTGCACAGAAAACTCATATGAAAGTATGAAAAACAATTAATGACGTTAAATAGACAATAAAAGTCTAATAATAAGCTGATTTATAATAACATATACATTCTTTAACAAAATTTACGCGAATTTTAGTTTGCAAGATGCAGGTTTGCATTTAATTAGATTTCGGGCACGATTCTAACAATAAGTTCAGCTAGTGCACTTCTTTAACAAAAATGCATTTTACAAAGCAAATTTATATAAAAGAATAAAAAACAATTAATGATGTTGCATAGACAATAAAATTGCCAATAAACTGATATATAATAATATATACATTCTTTAACAAAAATTATGCGAATTTTAGCTTGCAAGGTGCAGATTTGCATTAATTTCGATTTCAGGCACAATTGCATTTTGCAAATTGCATTGCAAATGCGGACAAACTGCATTTTGCATAAAAAAATTATATGAAAGTATAAAAAACAATTAATGGCGGTGAATAGACAATACAATTTTGCAATAAATTGATATATAGCAGTATATACATCATTGAACAAAATTTACGGTAATTTTAGCTTCCAAAATGCAGATTCTAAGTTCAGCGAGTGCACTTTTTTGACAAAATTGCATTTTGCATAGAAAACTTATATGAATGTGTGACAAACAATTAATGGCGTTCAATAGACAATAAAATTCTAAATAAACTGATAAAAAATTTTAGCATAAAAATGTAAACGTAAGAAGTTTAGGAAAATACTCATAAAAACAATCAAATTTATTTCTGTCTCTTGTGCAATAAATCATTTATTCCTCAACAAAATTATTACAAATAAAATATATTCCTTAACTCCTACTCTATATAAACTATTATATATAAATAAATACTTAAAATATGTAATACTTATAAGACAAATATAAAAATAATCTATCCCCTATTACTACTGTAGTGAATTCTGGACACGTACACTATTTTCTTTATTATTAACCTCAGTCATCAGATCAATATCGACCCATGTTCTTTCATTACTGGACTTTTTGATAGCGTCCAAAACAGCCTGGACATACAATCCATCTTCGAAAGAAGCTGCCAGCTGTACAGGCTCCTTTATCCAACCAGCCTTGTCCTCGACTGGTAGAAAAGCCTCTCTGAGAGCCCCTGTGAGCTTGCAGAGACCCTTGATGTATGGCATTGGCAAGATGTCGACGCCCTGGGATTGGGCCACGTCTTGGTCGTCCATATAAAGGACGACTTCTGTAAAAAATAATAATAGAAATAATATACTTGCATCTAGTTCTATATATATATATATATATATATATATATATATATATATATATATATATCTTATATATATATATAATTCTTTTACCTTTATTACTTCCTGAATCTCTGTGTATTTCATAACAGCATCCATACAAATCTCCTCCACGTACTGCCAAATGTCCAGTACGACTGCACATGACTACTTCTTGTTGAAATTTTGCACCAGGAATATGACTGCTCAAAGTAGCAGTCACCAAACAACCATTCTCCAGTTCCATTTGAAACGTACAAAAGTCTGGTGCCGAAACATGCCTGATACCATTAACATACGGTGTTGTTTTTGTAAAAGTCCTAATAGTACCGTGAACTCTAACAGCAGTCTTGTTTGTAAGAAATTTAATCAAGTCTATTATATGACTCCCGACAAGATTTAAAATGCCTCCACCCATTGTAGCATCACACAACCAGTCGTACTTATTATGCAACAACGATGCCATTTGTACTCGTACATCAACATTGGATATATCATCAATATCACCCAAGTACCCACCACGTAAAACCTCATACATTTTGTAAATGCTGGAAAGAACCTCAAGGAATGATTTAATATAGATATCAACGACGGGTAGTACTGGCAAGCTCTGACCATTTTAGAAGCGTCCAATTGATTTAAACCAGCCGGTTTATCACATACGACATGTTTGCCTATTCCTAAAGCTTTTACAGAAATCTGGGAATGTAGGTAAGGTGGGCATATGATGAATATGAGATCTACATGTTTTCTGAGTAGTACTTCATCGATTTTGTTTGTGTAGAATGGAATGTTGAGTTCCTTGGCTGTTTGTTCAGCTTCTTGTATTGTTCGGCCCCATAGGGCTTCAATTTTGAAGCCTCGTTCACGTAGTAAAGGCACTAGGGCTGATGCTAGGGCACCTGTGCCGAAAACACCAATACCAGGCAACATGGTAATGGTAATAGATATAAGAAGTATGAAACACTCTTAGTTAGAAATAAATTTAATTTGACTTCATGGAAACCACAGTTTTTTGATCGAATACACCAAACTACTTATAAAGATATCATTTTGGTAAAATCAAATTGTATTTAACCATGTAGACAATATTTTAATAAACATTACAGAACCTCAGTACAGTTTTAATACAAAAATGTTATTTACACATGACTTGTGTTCTACATATATTTATAGAACGTATTGAAGATTTACCTGAGGTATATTATTGAAAACTTACATAATCTGCACAAATCACTTATTAAAACACTATTATTTATTTTTTTACACGTATTTTAGCACAAAATTCTTGTTTATTTCACATCTGTCAAGTTGACATCATACCTAACCTAACTTACTGTCAACTGTCATCGAATTTCTGAGACAAATTTTATAAATTTTAATAAAATCTAATTAAAATCTGCATTATAAATTATAACTGCATTAATTAATTGTATCAAATTAATATAATGTTAATAGGCAGTAAAGTTTCATACATTTTTAATACGAAAATGTTGTTTGCACAAGACTTGCACAATTTGATAAATATTTATAAATTTATAAGATACTATAATTTATATTAATCCAAACTTACATATTCTGCACAAATCACTTACTAAAACACTATTATTTATATTTTTACACGTATTTTAGCACATAACTCTTATTTCTTTTACATTTTAAACTCACTTGTCAAAACTTATTTGACACTTTACACAATTCTTATTTTCAACTGTCATCCACTCTCGACAACTTCACGTAGCTGTCATAATCATTACATTAATTTAAAATAAAAGTATTTACTTAAAATACTTTAGTAAATAAATAATTATTTATATTTTTATACGTATTTTAGCATAAAATTCTTATTTATTTAACAATATAAAGAAATAAGTGCACATAACCTATCTTTTTATCAACTGTCATTTAGTCTAAGCGACTCCGTCGTGTAGCTGTCACTTATTACCAATATTTATTTTTACAAAAGTATTTATTTAAAATACTTGAATAGTGCTGAATTAAATAAAAATGTTGACAACACTAAGAAAAGCTATAGTAAGACCATAAAACAATTTATCTTAACACAGTACTGATAGTGCTTACATAATAACTGTGTGTTAAATAATTTTTTATTGTTTTTAGTCTATAAATCTTCGTGGTCTCCACACCTCGTCTTACAGATTGCATGATGCAATTTCAATCACAGAGACACCCCTGAAGACAATGCCGATACACCTTTTGATTTTACACCAGAAAACTTAAAAGTATATACAAGTCAAGTCAAACGGTTATGGTAAATGTTGATTTTAACACAATGTTTTATTATTGTAGAGGGCTGAAGCTATTTTAGCTATTTATCCGGAAGGGCATAAGCGTGGTGCTATGATTCCTTTGTTGGATTTGGCTCAAAGACAACATGGATGGTTGCCGATAGCCGCTATGCATAAGGTAAAAAAATTGAACTTGTAATTTGCTTAAGGCAACATTGATGATAATTAAAATCAGGAGTAAATTGTAATTGAATAGTAATAAATAATTAGATTTAAATATTTTATATATATTAAATATTTGCTAGGTTGCAGAAATCTTAGGATTGCCAAGAATGAGAGTGTACGAAGTAGCTACATTTTACACCATGTTTATAAGGTCAGTTATAACTATATATATATATATATATATATATATATATATATTCTTAAACATTTCTCTAAAAACCATGTTTTTGCCTTCAGACCTAGCCTTCATTGAACGAAAATTCAAAATTAAACTTAAAAACTAAAATGTATAACAATTTAGTTTGAAAAGTTACAGAAAAACAATTTAATTTAATAGCATTCATTCAAAAATAATTTTGGAAGGATCTTTTATTACCATTTATAATTTATTTTCAATATTCAGTAAAAGAAGGCTAGGTCAATAGGTAATTATTATTATTATTTTTATTACCTAGGAGGCCAATAGGTAAATACCACGTCCAAGTATGCACAACAACCCCCTGTTGGCTGAGAGCTCCGATGAAGTCGTAAACACTTTAAAAAATAAACTTGGAGTAGAAGTTGGAGGCACTTCGCAATGCGGCAAATTCACTTTGGGTGAAGTTGAATGTTTAGGCGCTTGCGTTAATGCACCAATGATGCAAATAAACGATGACTATTATGTATGTTAATAACTGAAATATATATATATATATATATATATATATATATATATATATATTTAAATATTGAATTGCAGGAGGACTTGACTGTGAAGGATGTTGAGCAAATAATTGATGACTTAAAAGCTGATAAGAGACCTGCATCAGGACCTAGGTAATATATATATATATATATATATATATATATAGATATATATATATATATATATATATATATATTATATATATATATATATATTTGTTTATTTATATAATTGTCCTTTACAGAAGTGGTAGATTTGCCTCAGAGCCCCTGGGTGGTTTAACTTCCTTAACAGAAGAGCCCAAAGGCCCAGGTTTCGGTTTACAACCTGGTCTGTAGTTAAAACAAATTAAATTAATGTACATAATTTAAAATACATAATTTAAAGTATAATGAATGTATTTACGTAACAATAAAAATATATAATGCAAAGAATACTTTTCATATCATATAAATCGTGCAACTGACTGCATAATAAATTTCTTATACAAGAGAACATTTAATACAATATAAATTCTTTTTTTCTTTACATATCCTCGCATTTCATATACATATTTGTAATCCTATACTAATAATAATACGTATATAAATATATAAATATACCAATTTGGTAATTAAATATAAATATATATGTGATAATTATAAACAAAAACGATTTTATACAGATGTTCATACAGTTAATAAAAAAAAGATTATGTTTAAAAAAAAGTATTAAAAAGTCTTAAGATAAAGTAACTTAACTAATAAATAAAATCTATGCAAAAAATTAGAAGAAAATGCTAAAAATAATTAAAACTAGTGTTTGTTTTAATTTATAAATAAAATACATTTTTTTTAAAAAATACTGGTGGACACCTGTAAATTTTTTTGTTTGTTTATAATTATGTAAATACATAATTATAATATATATATATATATATATATATATATATATATGTATAAAACTCAGTAATTCATTTATTTATAAAAACTTTAATAAAAAAAGATTTTTTCTAAACATATAATGTAAATATTTGTGAGTTCCCTTCTTTATTCAGCATCATAATAGGTAGCTCTGCAAATAAAATAAAAAATTGTACTTAAAAGTTATCAATTGAACAAAAGCAATGATACATTTTGTGAGATTTATGTAAATGACTGCCTTTTCTCCTTAAATTACGCAAAAATAATATAAATTTACTTTTGTAGAATATTTAAACTGTATTTTTTTATTACCTTTGTTTATTTCCATTACGTTTAGAAATACGTCTGCCTGTAGACTTCATAGTCAAAGTAAATCTCTCCGTATGCTTAGGCGCCGTTCTGATTTCACGCTTCTCAAATTTACTAGCCTTATTCACCTGCAACAACCACACATTACATTAAAATTCCTGCACACAAACTGCAATTATCCATTACCCACCTTTTCCATAAATCTGGCAATCAGCTCGGGGCACGATAATTCTCCTCAGGTTCCCAAGTGTCTTCGTTCGAGGTGCAGCCCTTCCAGCGAATTAGAAACTCTTTGGCTCCATCTTTTCTGTGATGTACTTCTATAATTTTTTCAACCTGGGGAGAAGATATATGTTGTAAGGAATTTTTTTTTTAATTTTATTTTCATTCTGCAATCTATAAAAATAATTATAATTAGTGTATCTACTATGATTAATATAAAAAAAATAATCTAAAGACAAATATGGAGAAAAATATATATATTTATATAAAAATAAACTATATTAGATCTCGAGGAGGTATTTTTCTTTTGAGCCTGGTGGATGAAATGTTTGTGAAAGTTCAAATTAAAAGGGCATACCTCGTATTCTGCATCGGGGTCTGCAGGTTTTTGGGGTTTTGGTGTGATTTTGCAGCCTTCTTTTTGGGTTGAGATTTTTTACTGGATTTACCTTTGGGTGAGGTATTCTGAGAGAAAAAATAAATAAATGATTAAACAAACATAAAACTTTATATATATATATATATAATAATATATATATATATATTATAATATATATATATATTGAATGGTAGAGTCTTGGATTTGTGTATATTTTGTAGAGTTTCGAACAACAATCCAAAATAATACAAAATAAAAAACAAGAAAAGTTTTTAAAAAAACAATTTCTTTATTTAATTATTTGTTTATTGTCGACGTTTCGGAACTAGGTACGTTCCATCTTCAGGACATCTGTCAAGAGACATGATTTTGATGAGATTTTAGCAAACAATATGTTTAGGAAAAGAAAATAGATTTTTCTTAAATAATGAATTAATTGAAATAAATATAATAATGTACAGAAATATGATAATATGTTCAAAATAAAAATGATAAAAATAAATGAGTGGATTATCAGAACAGGATATTAAACATAATAGAAAGTTTTTTGAAAGTTATGGAAATTTTTTAAGAAAAGTTAATGACAAAGTTGAATTAATTACCTGTATGTTTGAATATTTGTTAGCACTTTTTCACTAAACAAGCTTTTTTAACAAAAATGAATTTGTGAGTTAATTTTCCGCCGAATAATTAGATTTTGTAAATCAAAATTACTAAAAGATTTGTCTTTTTTAAAATTATATTTGAAAACACAAATGATATTATTCTCTGGATGTTGTTCGATTGGCTTTCGAAAATTAACTAATTGAAACTGGTGTGTCCTTTGTAACACGTGTAACACTCACATGTCTCGTTCAAGTGTTTACACGTGTTACAAAGGACACACCAGTTTCAATTAGTTAATTTCGAAAGCCAATCGAACAACATCCAGAGAATAATATTATTTGTGTTTTCAACTAATAATTTTAAAAAAGACAAATCTTTTAGTAATTTTGATTTACAAAATCTAATTATTCGGGGAAAATTAACTCACAAATTCATTTTTGTTAAAAAAGCTTGTTTAGTGAAAAAGTGCTAACAAATATTCAAACATACAGGTAATTAATTCAACTTTGTCATTAACCTTTTCTTAAAAAATTTCCATAACTTTCAAAAAAATTTTCTATTATGTTTAATATCCTGTTCTGATAATCCACTCATTTATTTTTATCATTTTTATTTTGAACATATTATCATATTTCTGTACATTATTATTTTTTACAATTTAATTCATTATTTAAGAAAAATCTATTTTCTTTTCCTAAACATATTGTTTGCTAAAATCTCATCAAGATCATGTTTCTTGACAGATGTCCTGAAGATGGAACGTACCTAGTTCCGAAACGTCGACAATAAACAAATAATTAAATAAAGAAATTGTTTTTTTAAAAACTTTTCTTGTTTTTTATTTTGTATTATTTTTGGATTCTTGTTCGAAACTCTACAAATATATATATATATATATATATATATATGCAATAATGTGATAGCAATATTAATATAGATGATAATAATATATAATTTCCTACCTTGTCAGTAAATTTAGCTATCAAATCTGGACAGGACAAATTTTCCTCTGGTTCCCAAGTATCACTTTCAGGTCCATGGTTCTTCCAGCGAATGAGGAACTCTCTGGCACCTGATTTCAGGTATTGCACATCCATTATCTTATCAACCTAAAAAAAATACATACACATATATACATATATATATATATATATATATATATATATATATATATGTATATATATATATATATATATATATATATATATACAAATTTAAAAAAAAAACAAATTTCTTTCAAAATTTATTCTAAAATCCGTACGTTTCGGCTATAATCCTAGCCTTCATTCAGTAGAAACTAAAAATAAAATTTAAAAACTAAAATATATAACAATTAAGTTTGAAAGAATACATAAGTACAATTTATTGAAAAGATGCATCTGTAAAGAATCTTTTATAACAATTTATAATTTATTTTAATCAAGTAAATGAAGGCTAGGTCTATAGCCAAAACGTATGGATTTTAGAATAATTAAAAAAAAAAACATGATTTTTATTATATATATATATATATATATATTTATATATATATATATATATATATTTATATATATATATATATATATATATATATGTATATGTATTTTATTACCTCATAAACTGGCTCCTCATCGGTAGGTAAAATTTCCTCAGGTTCTGCTTCGTCATTATCATTTTCCTCCTGTATAAAATGCAAGACAATAGCAATATTAGTAAACAAAAAATTCAAAATAAATATTTAATATAATCTATTGTTTGAATTTGAACTTGTTATTGATTTAATTTAGTCCCATTATTCTATATTTATATTTGTATAAATAATAGAATAATGGGATTGAATTACAACAATAATAAGTTCAAATTTCTGATAAATAGAGAATATATTTTATCAAATAAAATAATATGTCCAATAAATTACCTCTGCACTTTTGTCCTTTTTAGCTTTTTTGCCCTTTTTCTTGGCATTTGCTGGAGCTCCTCGTTTCTTGGGCAATTTCTTTTTTAGCTAGATATTCAAAAAAAAGTGAAATAGTTTTTGAGAGATTATAAGTTTCTTAAATTAGATGTTGATATAATATATTTTATTTGAGTCCTTCTTAGCCTTCATCATTCAGTGGCAATCAATATAACTATAAAAATTAAAACTAAATAAATAATATGTAAGAAATTTCATAGAAAAACAACAATAATGATAACAAAACACTTACAATTTTGTATCCTAATATAACATGTTTTTTATCATTATTATTATTTTCTATGAAATTTCTTACATATTATTTATTTCGTTTTAATTTTTATAGTTATATTGATTGCCACTGAATGAAGGCTAAGATGCTAGCTGAAACGTGTGGATTTAAATAAATAAATTTCTGAAAACTCTCATACTATTTTTATTGATGTAACCCGACTTTTGGACTCAAATAATATATATATTGTAGAACTTCAAACAAGGAATCCAAAAAGTAATAAAACACAAAAAAGTTTTTTGTAAAACAATTTATTTATTGTTTTTCGGTCGACGTTTCGGAACTAGGTACGATCCATCTACAGGACATCTATCAAGAAACATGATCTTGATAAGATTTAAACAAACGAATATATTTAAGAAAAGTAGAAAATTGTGGAAGAAATAACATCATAAAAAATATGAGAATATAATCAAAATGAAAAAAATAAAAATAAATGAGTGGATAATATGACGAAAAACAGCATTAATTATCTGTTTTTCAGAATTTTCTTACCCTTTTTAAAACAATCTAATTTTCTAACATTTCTAATATTTTGTTATATAATCCACTAATTTATTTTTATCATTTTCATTTTGATTATATTGTCATATTTCTGTACATTATTTTTTGAACAATTTTATTCATTTTATATTTAAAAAATCCACCATTTTCTACTTCTTGAATATAATGTTTGTTTAAATCTTATCAAGATCATGTTTCTTGACAAATATCTTAAAGATGGAACGTACCTAGTTCCGAAACGTCGAGAGTAAATAAATAAAGAAATGGTTTTTTAAAAAACTTTTTTGTTTTTTATTATTTTTTGAATTCTTTGTTCGAAGCTCTACAAAATATTTACAAATCCAAGACTCTATCATCTAATATATATAAATAAAGCAAGCGAAACAGTTCCAAAATTTCGAAAAAAATCCTAAATTAAAAAAAATCCTAAATATTCGAAATTAAGAAAAAACTATTTTTAAAAGATTCCGAAGATGAATATCAGATTTTATTGAAGTGTTCTAAGTTTTTCTAAAAAATTCAGAAGTTAATTAGCTTTGCAATTCAGTTTCAAAATGTTTATATAACATAAATAAAAAATATGTAATAAATTCTTCGGAAACGTTCCGATTAGTACGAATTTCGATCAGGTTTTGTTTATTATATTTGCGTTTCTTGAGAACTTGTACAAAGGTCGTTCGCCCAAAGAAAAGCACTTTAATAAACTTCAACTTTGCAAAATGTTTATATAACAAAAATAAGAAATATGAGATAGAGTCTTCGGAGGCGAAGCGAGTAGCATGCAATCCGATAAGGTTTGTTTATTATGTTCTCGTATATTGTAAACATAGATAAAGTTCGTCGTAAACAATATAATATACACGCTTATATTCATATTAATATTTATGATAATGATTTAATGAAAATATTTAGAACAATTATTCTTAGGCATTAGTCAATTTTAATTGATTATAATTATCCACTTTCTGAGATGTGCCAGAAATTAAAATAATATAAGATACAGTCCACAGTATATGTTTGGCAGATGAAATTATATAATTCAGATTAATAAATAATGCAATAAGTCCAAAATTGCATATGCTTTATTTTTTTAAACTTATGCATGTCGCATTTTCGGTTTACTTTAATAAATTATTTAACAATACAAAAAATATTTCTACTTTAAAAAAAAAATGATTTAGAATTTTGTTTCATGTGTCGAAAATTCATTTGCTTGGCATTAGATATGAAATATTTAGCAAGTTGATCTTAGATTGAAGAACTAGATTTTAAAAATTAATTCACCCAAGATTTGGACATAAACAATAATGTTTATTAAATTATTAGTAAGAAAAATGTACTTTAGAAATTATAATTGCCAAAAAGCAACTAATATCTCGTACGACTAAATTATTGAAGCAATTATGTTGTGTGGTAAAATCAAGTGCGATATTGTTCTTTTACCACAGATACTATATTATTTTTGAAGTAAAACTTCTTTAGGCGCGACTAGTGAGTAAATCCAAGTATATGCAATGGAAATTGCGTCGAACTGTTCATAATTCGCGAATGAGATTGTGATTGGTCGTCGTGAAATTTATATTATTTCTTTAAATATAGTGAGAAAATAAAACATTTGTGCCGTGTACTAAACGTAAGTTTATTGAAATAATTTTTATATTGTTCGTAGTTTCTACAAATACGGAACCCATAGGAATGTAAACTAAATTTATACTTATTGTTAAAATCTCTATAAAATATCTGATAATTTGATGTGCATATGTCTAATGATCATTTTTGACCGCCAAATGGCATTTTTTTTTACTTTTTTCATTAGATCTCCTAAACCGCTAGACCTGCCTTCATGAAAATTTGATCAATTTTTCATCTTGTCAATACAAGTAAAAATGTTTTTTGAATTATTCAAATCGGACGCTCCGTTCTCTTAAAAACTGAGTTACCGTTTTCGGCACTTTTTGCCCCGTATCTTCGGAACGGTTAGACCTGCCTTCGCCAAAAACTAATCAGCACGTCTCCTTATCAATACGAATCGAATGTTTTTTGAATTATTCAAATCGCTTCATCAGTGTTCCCGAAATCGTCGACGAAAATTTGTATCCGCACACACACACATACACGCAACACACACACACACATATCTACCTTTTTTCTAAGGTATGCCAACATATTCAGAAACCTCTGAAACGTAAAGATATATAAAAATTTTCATTTTCGATTTTTTTGCGATTACTATAACTTGCCCTACGGGAAGTTAAAAAAAAAAACAAGCGGTCAATGAATGTATGTTAGTTTTGATTACATGAAGTAATGGATTATTTATTATTTCTAAAAATTAGGACAAAAAATGGGAGAAAACGACTGAACGAATGGAACAAAAGACTTTGAACCTTTTACAATTTCGTTTTACTGATCTTAGTATTATAATGTTGCGTATTTTTATAAAGAATTATAAATAACAAAGAATTAATTGATACTCAGATTTCTTACTCTAAACAAGAAATCAAGCAGAACAATAGTTTCTGTAGTTGTAAATCATTTATATACAGATATACTTCATAATGGACATCTATGCAATTTATTTATTGATAGTGTTAACAAAATTATTCAAGATTGTTATATTACAGCTGTCCACTGTGTGAACAAATATTAAAAAAAAATTTAATCAGCATATTACTTCATTTTTCTAAGGTTTAAGTATGACTTTAATTAGAAACATTATTCAAAATTGTTATATGATGTATTTATTTTTAACTTAAGGGGGTATTCTAGTGTAGAAATTCGAAATAATCGATTTTTTTTAATATCATATTTTCAAAGTTTAACTATCTAAGAATATGGGTTCAAGAAGGTTTTTGAAAATTTGAATTATTTTCGGAGATATAGGCATTTTACTGACTCGGTCTCCATACTGGTTTGGGGCTTTACGTAAAACTTTAAATGCGTTTTTCTCAGAACAGACTTTTTCAGTACTATTGACACGATTTCTCGAGTTCTACTTGACCGATTCACTTGAAATGTTCAGAGAGTCTTGTTTATAGACCTATTTATAGCCCGAACTAGGATTATCATTCGGGCGATTGCAACATTATTGTAGATTGATCTTTTAATTTTCTGCATTTCCGATGGCTAGGAGTTCTAAAATCATGTCAAGACTGAGGTGCCAATTTTTTGAGACCACCCACTTCATCAGCTGCCAGTTTTTACAATTTTCAACTTTTTAATTTTTTAGTTTTTGTTTTGTATATTAAAAATATTAATAAACAAGTTGTAAAAAAATGGATAGTAAAAACATTCATTGCTTTCTTTTACACTTTAAAAATGACCTAAAATTCATTGCTCTACACTAGAATACCCCCTTAAATGCCAGCCAGATAGCAAAACAGCTTTACTTCAATTATTAGTAAGAAAAATGTACTTTGAAAATTATAATTGCCAAAAAGCAACTAATATATCGTACAAGTTTATTAACAGACTAAATTATTGAAGCAATTATGTTGCGTGGTGAAATCAATTGTGATATTGTTCTTTGACCGCAGGTACTATAATACCTTTATTCTGATATTCTTATACTGTTTATGCTAAGATCATAAATGAATCACAGAGGCAGGACATCGATTGGGATATTAAACAGTATAGGATAGGATATTAAAACATTTGGAACTTTTGAATTGTAGACGTGGGTACAGGACGTCTATTGGGTTATCTAGTATTCTTATAATCCTGACGAGTTCAATTCTAATCAAACTAGACACACAGTATCTCTAGCAATCTCTGGTCAATTGTAACAAGCTGTGTCCCTTATAAAGTGACTCATAACCTTCCTAGGGTACAGGACAACTTCTATCGGATCATCTAGTATACTTATGATCCTCACGAGCTCAATTCAAGTCAAACTGGACACACAGTATCTCTAACAATCTCTGGACAATTGTAACAAGTTGTGTCCCTTAAAAGTGACTCATAACCTAACTTTATACATATTTATGAACCCCATAAGTCCCTTATCCATTACTTACAGGTTTGTCGTCCTCATCCTCGTCATCCACTTCAGCCAAAGGATCATCCCCATTCTGCACAAATTCCTCCTGGTGCTCCTGGTTCTCTTCAATTTCGGCTTCGGCGGCGGCTACGGCCACAGATTCAATATCTCCATTTGTCGTTTTCGATTTAGCTCCTCGGCGTCCCATCGCTGATACTAGTTTTGAGACAAAATTCATTATTTATTTAGCCTTTCCAAAAATCTACACTGTAGGTTAATGCATGAATTAACCTGTTTTATCCGTTAAATAAGTGATATGTTTGATAAAATTAATAATTAATACCCAAAACAATATTAAAATTACTCGACAGCGACTTCGCTATGAAAACAAAAACGAAACGCGCCAAAGGTACACTAGATAATGGATACAGGGATTGGAAACTGGGAGGAATGACATGGGAATAGCAGCATAGAGAGGTAATTGTTATAGGAATTTTGTTTGAAAGCAGTTCATGGTAAAAATACATCTCATTTGTTTAAATTGTATATAAATAATAATATAAACTGGGTGCAAGTGGCATTGTGCCTTCAGGTAATTGCCTGAACTTACTCTGCCGCAATTTCAAATTTGAAAATCGCAGTCTAACGGTTAAATATTATAAAACTTGGTACGGAACCTATAGAAATGTAAATAAAATTTGTACCAATTATCAAAATCTATATAAATTATCTGATAATTTGATGTGCATATGTCTAATGATCATTTGAAACCACCAAATTTTTTAATTTTTTTATAGAACCGTTGGACATGCTTTCCTAAAATTTTTATCAGTACTTAATTTTGTTAATACAAATAAAATATTTCTTGAATAACTCAAATCGAACGCCCCGTTTTCTCAAAAACTGTATTATTATTTTTGGCACTTTTTGCCCCGTATCTTCGAAACGGATGGAACTGTTTTTGCCAAAAACAAATCAGCACGTCTTCTTATTAGTAGAAATCAAATGTTTTTTGAATCATTCAAATCGGTTGATGCGTGCTTCCGAAATCGTCGGTGAAAAATTGTATCCGCACATTCATACTTACTATACACATACAGGGTGGCTGATATGTATTGCAACCAATTTCAGACCGCTATCATTTCTAAACCGCTCATCAGACAGATGACAGATTTATTCCAGTAGTTGTTCATTTAGCTGTTTACAAGCGTACAAAAGCATTTTGAGTCCAAAAGCGGACGAAAAAAAACACTAACAACACCAGAAATGATCCAAAAAGTATAGGCAAAAATCGGTCGAAATTCGAAAAAATGGCTCGTGATTATGTGTATTATTATGTACACAAATACTATTACTCATTCACCTACTATATTAAATTTACAAACACTGTTATATACTCTCGTACTATTATGTACGCAAATACTATTACTCATTGACGTACTATATATTATTTACAAACACTGTTATATACTCTCGTACTATTATATACTCAAATACTATTACTCATTGATGTACTATATTAAATTTACAAACACTGTTATATACTCTCGTACTATTATATACACAAATACTATTATTCATTCACGTACTATATTAAATTTACAAACACTGTTATATACTCTCGTACTATTATGTACACAAATACTATTACTCATTCTCGTATTATATTATATTTACAAACAGTGTTATATACTCTCGTACTATTATTTGCACAAATACTATTATTCATTGACGTACTATATTATATTTACAAACACTGTTATATACTCTCGTACTATTATGTACGCAAATACTATTACTCATTGACGTTCTATATTATATTTACAAACACTGTTATATACTCTCGTACTATTATATACACAAATACTATTATTCATTGATGTACTATATTATATTTACAAACACTGTTATATACTCTAGTACTATTATATACACAAATACTATTATTCATTGACGTACTATATTATATTTACAAACACTGTTATATACTCTCGTACTATTATGAATACATATACTATTACTCATTGACGTACTATATTATATTTACAAACACTGTTATATACTCTCGTACTATTATATACACAAATACTATTATTCATTGACGTACTATATTATATTTACAAACACTGTTAAATACTCTCGTACTATTATATACACAAATACTATTATTCATTGACGTACTATATTATATTTACAAACACTGTTAAATACTCTCGTACTATTATATACACAAATACTATTATTCATTGACGTACTATATTATATTTACAAACACTGTTATATACTCTAGTACTATTATATACACAAATACTATTATTCATTGACGTACTATATTATATTTACAAACACTGTTATATACTCTCGTACTATTATGAATACATATACTATTACTCATTGACGTACTATATTATATTTACAAACACTGTTATATACTCTCGTACTATTATATACACAAATACTATTATTCATTGACGTACTATATTATATTTACAAACACTGTTAAATACTCTCGTACTATTATATACACAAATACTATTATTCATTGACGTACTATATTATATTTACAAACACTGTTAAATACTCTCGTACTATTATATACACAAATACTATTATTCATTGACGTACTATATTATATTTACAAACACTGTTATATACTCTAGTACTATTATATACACAAATACTATTATTCATTGACGTACTATATTATATTTACAAACACTGTTATATACTCTCGTACTATTATGAATACATATACTATTACTCATTCACGTACTATATTATATTTACAAACACTGTTATATACTCTCGTACTATTATATACACAAATACTATTATTCATTGACGTACTATATTATATTTACAAACACTGTTAAATACTCTCGTACTATTATATACACAAATACTATTATTCATTGACGTACTATATTATATTTACAAACACTGTTAAATACTCTCGTACTATTATATACACAAATACTATTATTCATTGACGTACTATATTATATTTACAAACACTGTTATATACTCTAGTACTATTATATACACAAATACTATTATTCATTGACGTACTATATTATATTTACAAACACTGTTATATACTCTCGTACTATTATGTACGCAAATACTATTACTCATTGACGTTCTATATTATATTTACAAACACTGTTATATACTCTCGTACTATTATATACACAAATACTATTATTCATTGATGTACTATATTATATTTACAAACACTGTTATATACTCTAGTACTATTATATACACAAATACTATTATTCATTGACGTACTATATTATATTTACAAACACTGTTATATACTCTCGTACTATTATATACACAAATACTATTACTCATTCACGTACTATATTATATTTACAAACACTGTTATATACTCTCGTACTATTATATACACAAATACTATTATTCATTGACGTACTATATTATATTTACAAACACTGTTATATACTCTCGTACTATTATGAATACATATACTATTACTCATTGACGTACTATATTATATTTACAAACACTGTTATATACTCTCGTACTATTATATACACAAATACTATTATTCATTGACGTACTATATTATATTTACAAACACTGTTAAATACTCTCGTACTATTATATACACAAATACTATTATTCATTGACGTACTATATTATATTTACAAACACTGTTATATACTCTCGTACTATTATATACACAAATACTATTATTCATTGACGTACTATATTATATTTACAAACACTGTTAAATACTCTCGTACTATTATATACACAAATACTATTATTCATTGACGTACTATATTATATTTACAAACACTGTTATATACTCTAGTACTATTATATACACAAATACTATTATTCATTGATTTACTATATTATATTCACAAACACTGTTATATACTCTCGTACTATTATATACACAAATACTATTACTCATTGTGGGTTGCCAGGTCGCTACAATACTAATGTCCCCGATGTGTTTCACCCTATTCTTTCATGTGGTACCAACCTAATTGAAGACATGGCAAGCAATGACAGATAGTGTTACACGTAGCCTCAGAATTGAAAAATGTTGTTAAATATTTTATAAAATGCAATAAATAATGACCGTGTAGCATATTAAGTATACAAAATTGATTTTATTATTGTCCATTAACATTATATGCGTGCAATTGTGTAGATTTTATTAAAGAATTGTATTGTGCAAATATTTAATTCAGGATGGCCGGAACGGAGCAGCCTTGTTATACTTTAATAAATGTCTTAACAGACTCGGAGCCTTTTAATGAAATGCAACTGAAACAAGATCTAGGTAATAATAATAATAATACATCCCAAAACTCATGAAAAAATTGTATACACTTATATAAAATTCATATTAATATATGTTTACTTTGCCTGTAACTTACTCCATTTTTGTTTTCTTCTATTTTAGAAAAAGGTGATATAAAAGTAAAAATAGAAGCGTTGAAGAAAACAATTCATCTAATTCTGCAAGGCGAAAGGTTACCCGGTTTGTTGATGATCATAATACGCTTTGTCTTACCTTTGCAAGATCATATGATCAAAAAGCTATTGCTAATCTTTTGGGAAATTGTCCCCAAGACTACCGCAGATGGCAAACTTATGCAGGAGATGATTCTTGTTTGTGATGCCTACAGAAAGGTAATAGTAATAGTAATATATATATAGATATATATATATATATATATATATATATATATATATATATAAGTATTATGGTGTTATTTATCTTAGGATCTCCAACACCCAAACGAGTTCTTGCGAGGATCCACCCTGCGTTTCCTGTGCAAACTCAAAGAACCAGAACTACTAGAACCCCTCATGCCAGCAATCAGAGCTTGTTTAGAACACCGTCACTCCTATGTCAGACGAAACGCAGTTCTAGCTGTATTCACCATCTACAAAAACATGGATTTCTTGATCCCCGACGCTCCAGAACTCATTGCCACGTTTTTGGACGCCGAACAAGACATGTCTTGCAAACGTAATGCATTTTTAATGCTTCTGCACGCTGATCAGGACCGTGCTTTGTCATATTTAGCTTCTTGTCTTGATCAAGTGAACTCGTTTGGCGATATTTTGCAACTTGTTATTGTTGAACTCATATACAAGGTAATAAATAAAATAATACATTTTGTACTTGATACTTAACTAATAATCGTGTTTGTTATTTATAGGTTTGTCATAATAATCCGTCTGAACGTTCAAGATTCATTCGCTGCATTTACAGTCTTTTAAATTCAACAAGTGCTGCAGTAAGATACGAAGCTGCCGGTACCTTAGTGACTTTATCAAATGCACCAACTGCCATAAAGGTTAGTTAGATATAAAAATATGCAAATCCATTATACAAATATACAAATTGTTGTGTTTACAGGCTGCTGCTTCTTGTTATATTGATTTAATCGTGAAAGAGAGTGATAATAATGTCAAGTTAATTGTTTTGGATCGTTTGATTGCTTTGAAAAATAGTCCGACACATCAGAAGGTACTGCAGGATTTGGTTATGGATATTTTGAGGGTTTTGGCTAGTGCTGATATCGAAATCAGGAAGAAAACTTTATATTTAGGTAAATATTAAATATATATATACTAGCTGACCCGGCAAACGTTGTTTTGCTAAGTAAGGTATATTCTAAACAATTTCTAGAGAATCAAAAATATTAATACTTTTAGTGTATAAGGATGAGTTGTTTGAATGCTATATACAATGATGCATTATTAAAACAATAAACCCCATTAGTTTGTCTATATTTTGTCAATACTGGAAGTTTTATACACTTTCAATAGAAAACATAACGGTATAATCCAATCCAAGTCTTTTTTGATCTTTCGACCTATTGATTACATTTCAAGTTTTCCAGATTCTTTTTGGATTCTGGATTTTGTGTATAATTGTAAATAATACTATTGAGCTTATACAAAATTTTTAAATTTCTGCGAAGATAGAAATAAAATGAATTAAGTATTTCTTCTTTGTCCTGCTTTTTAAAAAGCTTCAAGTTCAACATTCGGCAAATTAAAGCAAATTTAATAAAAAGTATTATGGATTTTCAAAGATGATCCGATAGCAAAGACATGAGAATCCAGGTTATAGCTGGTTATACATCTTTTTCCCTCTACTTTCAAATATTGTTGTTAAACAATGCTTAACTTTACTGGTTTTTGACACATAGGTGGTTTATTTATTACTACCTATTTTTGATAAATTCTGGGAAATTATAACTGGAAAAATGTTATTTGACAAAATGTCCTTTTGATCGATACCAAATTTAGGTTCTGAATTTAAATAACATAAATAAAAAATAATATAACCTAGAATATGTTTTATAACTAACAATGAGTATATAATTATACAAACGAGATCTTTCAGAGCACCGTTTTTGAAAAAATATAATTTGCAAAAAAGGGTGCTACAACGCCAAAAAATGCATTTTCAAATTAACATTTCAAAAAAGTTGATATTGTTGAGTTTGTAGTAATATTTGCGGCCCTATTACATGATTTTACTGAATTGCAAGTTTATAGCTATTTTTGTAAGGAACATGTGTGATTTTATATTTTTATAATTTAGTAAATATATTAAAAAATAACATAGTGAAATTTTGTAACTCTAGTATAACGTTTTATATTTTTAAATATTTTTCAAAACCGTGGACTTGCAACTATTGCAAGAGTGCATTTGTTTACAAAATTGCACATTTATAGCTTTTTTTGTGATTATATATTTATTTAATTATATTAAAAGATTATATGTGATTTTATATTTTTATAATTGAGTATATACATTAGGTAATAACATACTAAAATTATATAGCTCTAGTATATTATTCTATATTTTTAAAACATTTTTTAAAAGTACTTCTCATATCATATCCAACCGTCGTTTCGCAACTAATAAAAATAGAGTATGCAAGTGTGCATTGCAAATTTTTAGTTTCTTCTGTTAGAAACATATTTGATTTTATATTTTTATAATTCAGTACACACATTAAGAAATAACATACTATAATTTCATAACTGTATTACAACGCTTTATATTTTTAAAATATAGTTTAAGCCTTCAGTTTGTTTACATCAAAACGTTTACTAACGTTTTTGTATATAAATAAAACTACGAACAAAACTACTTACTACAATTTAATCATAATTAAATGATATTTACGTAAAACATCCTATTAAACGTAATTGAACATCATCTGTTAAAAACGTTCGACTTTTGACGTATTAGCCATCGTCCATTGTACGCTTCTACAAAAATTTTCAAATTAAAAATGTAAAAATTCTACGCGATTTTGAAATAATATCTCACCTTTAGCACGAATTTTTCAAGACTAAGAGTGGCCAAATCGGTTCAGCCGTTTTCGAGTTTTAGCGAATCATTTGATCGAGAGCTTTATCTTTATATATAAGATATATATATATATATATATATATATTATTATATTTCTGTTATCCAACAGCAATGGAATTGGTGTCCTCAAGAAACATTGAAGAAATGGTTCTCGTATTAAAAAAAGAAGTTTCCAAAACTCACAATTCTGAGCACGAAGACACAGGAAAATACAGACAATTATTAGTTCGCACATTACACAGTTGCTGTATCAAGGTATTTGCTAACAAAACATAAATATCATATTATATATTATTTATCAATAACAACAATTTTCAGTTTCCCGATGTGGCTGCTACAGTCATTCCAGTTTTAACAGAATTCTTATCCGATACCAATGAATTAGCAGCATCGGATGTCTTAATATTTGTTAGAGAAGCTATACAGAAGTTTGATAATTTGCGTCCGTTAATATTAGAGGTAATAAATGCAAATTTTAATATTTCATGAAGTACAATAGTGAAATATATGTATTTTTTTAGCATTTGCTAGAAGCTTTCACATCTATCAAATGTGTACGTATACATCGTGCTGCTCTTTGGATTTTGGGAGAATATGCTGATAGTCCACAAATGATTTTGTCGGTACTGGCTGCTGTTAAACAGACTTTGGGAGAGGTAAGTGGATAAAAGAAATTTCTTATTTAATATATATATATATATATATATATATTCATATATATTTATTTATTTATTTAATATATTTGTGTTAAACAAAGGTTTTGTACGGATGTAAATTAATATTCGGATTTCGATAACGATTTAAGTTGCAGATAATTTAATTTTAAATAATTTTGCCAAATAATTTGTTTATATTAGACAAACGGTTTAAAAGTTACCAGGGATATAATAAATAAATGCACAAATTAGTAATCACTTGGATTGAACATCTTCAGTTAAATTGACGATTTTCAACTACGATTTTCAAGTATACCGAATTGCTGTAGGTCGTTACAATGTTAATAAATATTGTAGATAATATAATTTTGTACAAATTTGTCTAATATTTTATCGAAATTGGTTTGAAAGTTACAAAAAATATAATAAATAAATGCACAAATAACTCGTTAACGCAAGTTCGGTTATATAAGCTATTTTCAAACACGATTTTAAAGCCAAAGTACCAAATTAAATATAATATACTTATAATTAAATTCTCAAAAAAATATTTATAAAGAACAGTTTTTATTATCCCAAAATGCCCTCTTATTACATAAATATTTACAAAAAAAATATTCATAATTTTTTAAAATTTCATTTCGAGTATACCGATTTGCTATAGGCATTATGGCGATTATAGACGTTATGGCATTAAGAAATATATATTTTTTAGTTTAGTTATTTATTTATTTTACGCCCATGTTAATAATTGTTTAGGTTATTTAAATTTGCCAAATATTTTATGTAATTCTAATAAAGGGTTTAAAAGTTAAATGAAATTTAATAAATGAATGCACAAAAAAATCGTTATCGCGAGTTCGGTTATATCGGCTATTTTCAAATAAGATTTTAAAGTATACCGAGTTGCTGTAGATCATTACAATATTAAGAAACATTATAGATTATTTAATTTTAAACAAATTTGTCAAATATTTTATTTATTTTAGACGAAAAGTTGCAAGAGATAAAATAAATAAATGCATAAAAGGGTTATGTAACATACCCGGTCAAATTGACTATTTTCAATTGCGATTTTAAAATATTCCGAGTTGCTGTAGGTCGTTACAATGTTAAGAAATATTGTCGATTATTTAGTTTTTTACAAGTTTGTCAAATATTTCATTAGTATTAGAACAACAGTTTTAAAGTTACAAGAATTTTATTTTTTTGAAGTATTTTACAACCTAATCGTCGAATAAGACAAGTTTTTTTATTAATTAAACGTTTCGACACTTAATGTGTGTCATCATTCAGTGATCAAACCAGGAAAAACACAAAAACATAAAATTTATTAAAAACACTAAAATTGTGCTAAAGGACAACATAACAGATAATTGATAAAAAGGAAAAATTTCAAATATAAATATAAATATAAATAATGTATAAATTCACAAACAAGTTTACATATTATTTAAACATTAAATTCCTTAATCGCTAAAAACAAATATTTTCTTAGGTTGTTCTATTGTATAAACAAGTATCAAAATATTATTTTGACTATGCTAACAAAAGACTTATGTTAGAGAATCGCACTAAAAATTCATGATGCTTATTTTCTCTCATTGCATTATATTTAATTTTTTGTAAATACGACATTAAAGTCTTGATTAACAAATATAAATTATAACAAAAAAAAAAATGTTATTGCTTTTAGATAAATAAAGAATCGCACTAATAAATAATTATCTTCATTTTTTCTTATTGTATTATTTTTTATTGCTTTCAAGTAAATACTTAAAAAAAAATCTTTTATGTAAAAATGTAACTGTAAATGTTTTCTAAAGTGTATTTTATTTTTAATCATAATAAGCACATACTCGGACTAATTTTAATTACGATTTTAACTTTTTTATTTAGGTGCCTATTGTAGAAGCTGAAATGAAACGTTTGTCTGGTGAAAAATCAGAAAATGATGAAGTTCAAAATCAGACAAGTGGTTCAACACAACCAGCTTCGACCCTGGTGACATCGGATGGTACTTATGCCACACAGAGTGCATTTAATATCACATCGTAAGTAATTAGTAAGAAATTTGATTATGTTAACAGTACATATTATTTATTAGTTATTATTCTTTTCTCTAGTTCTATTAAAAAAGAAGAACGTCCCCCAATCCGCCAATATCTAATGGACGGTGACTTCTTCATAGCCGCCGCTTTGGCAACGACTTTAACAAAAATGGCTTTGCGTTACATAGAAAAGGTTAATGATGTTTCCAAACACAACAAGCTATCAACTGAAATTATGTTGCTGTTGTCTTCGATTTTGCATTTGGGCAAATCTGGATTGCCGGTAAAGGCTATCACCAATGATGATATGGACAGGATTTATTTGTGTCTTAAGGTCTTGTCCGAAAGGACACCGAGCATTGCTCATATTTTCAATGAAGAATGTCGAAGTGCTTTGAAAACTATGCTTAAGGCTAAGGCTGAGGAGGAGGCTGCCGTCCAAAAGGTAATAATGATAATAATAGAAATTTATACATATATATATATATATATATATATATAAAATATAGTCCAGCATGAAACCCAATAAAATTCCTAATTTTACATTTTTATGCTAAAATTTTCATAAATTTTGTTAAGGAATGTATATATTATTATGTATCAGTTTGTTCGAAATTTTATTGTCTATTTAAAGTCGTTAATTGTTTTTTATACTTTCATATAAATTTTCTTGCAAAATGCAATGCTAACCTGCATTTTGCAAGCCAAAATTATCGTAAATTATGTTAAAGAGTGTTTATATTATTATACATCAGTTTATTGCCAATTTTATTCTCTATTTAACGTCATTAATTGTTTTTGATACTTTCATATAAAATTTCTTTGCAAAATGCAGTTTTATCATAAAAGTGCACTCGCTGAACTCAGAATCGTGTCTGAAATCGAATTAAATGCAAACCTGCATTTTGCAAGCTGAAATTCTCGTAAATTTTGTTAAAAGACGTATATACTATTATATATCATTTGATTGAAAATTTCATTGTCTATTTAACGTCATTAATTGCTTTTTGTACTCCCATATAAAATTTCTTTGCAAAATGCAGTTTTGTTATAAAAGTGCACTCGCTGAACACATTCATACATAAAATCGTAATTAAATGCTAACCTGCATTTTGCAAGCCAAAATTATCGTATATTTTGTTAAGGAATGTATATATTATTATATACCAATTTATAGTAAATTTTATTCTCTATTTAACGTCATTAATTGTTTTTTATACTTCCATATAAATTTTCTTTGCAAAATGCATTTTTGTCATCAACTCGTTCGTCGATAAAATCGCGCATGAAATCGCATTAAATGCAAATCTGCATTTTGCAAGCCAAAATTATCGTAAATTTTGTTAAAGAGTGTTTATATTATTATATATCAGTTTATTGAGATTTTTTTCGCCTATTTAACGTCATTAATTGTTTTTATACTTCCATATAAATTTTCTTTGCAAAATGCATTTTATAAAAGTGCACTCGCTCAACTCGTTCGTCGATAGAATCGCGCATGAAATCGCATTAAATGCAAATCTGCATTTTGCAAGCTGAAATTCTCGTAAATTTTGTTAAAGATTGTATAAATTATTATATATTAATTTATTGGAAATTTCATTGTCTATTTAACGTCATAAATTGTTTTTTATACTTTCATATGCATTTTCTTAGCAAAAGGAATTTTTGTCATAAAAGTGCGAGTACAGCGAACTCGTTTATAGATGGAATCGTGATTAAATGCAAACCTGCATTTTGCAAGCTGAAATTCTTGTAAATTTTGTTAAAGGGTGTATATATTATTATATATCATTTCTTTGAAATTTGTTTTGCCTATTTAACGTCATTAATTGTTTTTTACACTTTCATAAGCATTTTCTTAGCAAAAGGAATTTTTGTCATAAAAGTGCGAGTACAGCGAACTCGTTTATAGATGGAATCGTAATTAAATGCAAACCTGCATTTTGCAAGCTGAAATTCTCGTAAATTTTGTTAAAGGGTGTATATATTATTATATATCATTTCATTGAAATTTGTTTTGCCTATTTAACGTCATTAATTGTTTTTTACACTTTCATATAAATTTTCTTTGCAAAATGCAATTTTGTCAAAAAAGTGCACTCGCTGGACTCATTTATACATAAAATCGTGTCTAAAATCGCATTAAATGCAAATCAGCGTTTTGCAAGCTCAAATTCTCGTAAATTTTGTTAAAAAACATATGTATTATTAAATAGCAGTTTATCGAGAATTTTATTGTCTTTGTAACGTCATTAAATGTTTTTTATACTTTCATAAAAAAATTCTTTCCAAAATGCAGTTTTGCCTAAAAAGTGCACTCGCTGCAATCATTAATAGATAGAATCGTCCGCAAATGCAATAAAATGCATAGGTAAAATAAATAATATATAGTGATACTACTACTTATGAGTGTTTTGAGATACGAGCAAAAGAGCGATTCGTTGCTTTGACATACGAGTAAAATTTGTGATACGAGCTTTGGGCGTGTAAGAGTTTTCTCGAAAAATATTATAAATATTAAAAGCAGAAATCTTTTGACTGTTTTATGATAATACATGATTTTATACCAAGTCATTTGATTTACATATCAATTATTAATTGTATATTTATTATATTTATTTAATATATTTTATCATATTATATTTTAGACCAAAGAAAAATTGAGCACAGCCGTCCAAGTGGACCAAGCCATATCATTCCTTCAGCTCTCCGGCAAAAATGCTGGTGATTTAGGAACTGAAAATGTCTTCGAGTTATCCTTATCACAGGTACTAATTATTTAATTATCTATTTATGCACAAAGTTTACTAATCAGTTTTTTTCCCTCAAAGGCCCTTGCAGGTACAAAACCAGCCAGTGCTGCTGCCGAAGCAGCTGGTGCAACCAGCAAATTGAATAAAGTTACACAATTAACCGGTTTTTCTGATCCTGTTTATGCTGAGGCTTATGTGCATGTCAATCAGTATGATATTGTACTCGATGTTCTGATTGTTAACCAAACAGGTACGATATATATATATATATATATATATATATATATATATATATATAGATACAAAATAAATTTGAAGGGTATTCTTGTCCAAGATTTAAGAATTCAATTTTTAACGTCCTTTGATTAATCGCGTGATTGATTTTTTTTAAGATTTTTGGACCCTCCCTTTGGTGATACTTAGTGATATTCAAAATTACATCTCTTACCCTACCAAACATCACGTATATTTTTAGTTACCAGAAAAAATTGTAAAATTTTTGATTTTCTTTGGAAATATTTTAACTTTTTTTAAGAAAAATTAGGTAAAAAATAAATACACGTTATATCTTACTATACCCCTCCTCCACGGGATATTTCGTGATTTTTTGTCAAATCATTTTCCTACCCCTAAAAACCTGATTAAGAACGCCTCCTAAGTTATGGCAATCGCAAAAAATCGAAAATGACATTTTATATATATTTTTACGCTTCAGAAGTTTCTAAACATTTTGGCATACTTTAAAAAAAAGTGTGTGAGGGTGTGTGGATACAAATTTGAAAAATTCGATATTTTTTTGTCTTTAAGACAACTATGCAGCACGATTGCTTTTAAAAAAAATTCAGAGTATTTAAAAAAAATTGAATTATAAAAATATCTAATTTTTTCAAAAATCTATTTTTTTCAAAGTTTTTTTTTAAAAATCTTAATTGTTGGTACAAAAAGTTACAGCAATTTGCCTTAAGGCACGATGCTATGCACCACTAGTTTTATTCATGTTTTCAAAGTTTATCACCTTTGCGTACGTGAATGCTATAGCATTCATTTTCATTGTAATGCAGAATTATACAAAAATCATTTTCAAAAAATTATATAAATTAGAAATAATATCTAGTTATAGTTACGTAATGTAGGTTTAATATTTCTTACACTACAATTACGCAATAGTATGTAATTGTTCTAGTGGGAATGACGTGGATGTTATAGCATTCAATTCTAAAGTCAATTATTTAGAGTTTAATTTTATATAAACATACATTTTTATAATTAATATACCTTTTATTATAATTACTGATGGAATTTCTAGGTATTTTCTTATTTTTGTCCGTAGCCACTAATTAGCGTAAAATAGAATCGTAATATTTAGCGTGGATGCTATAGCATTTATTGTGTATAACGATTAAAATTCGATAATCTAAATCCCCTTATAAACAGTGTTTAGTCAAACTTCGGAAATCACAACCAATTTAAAAATAAATTCAGTGTAAATTTTTGTACCTCGATTGAACTTCTGCTGTCCGCGAACGTGTTAACTATTCAAAAATGTGTGTATTTTTCAAATTTTATATAATTTTGAGAGATGTAGCTGTTTGAGCGCCAAAATGCTTCTTTAAAGGCGTTTTTCTCGAAACTGTATTTTTCGATACGATACGATACCCACGATTTCTCGACTTCTACTGCACCGATTTACTTGAAATTTTTACAGAATCTTCTCTAAAAACTTCTTATAAGTCTGAATTAAGCTCATCCCCAAAATTTGATTTTTACTATTTTTAAAAAATTTAAAACTTCAAATAAAAAAAAATCCAGACAGTCGCTATTTTATGGATTTTTTTTTATAACTTTTCTATAGTTCATTCGAATGCTAAATTATTTTAGATTAATAATCTCTTTTTATTGGAGAGTTAAAAAATTGGAGTATGTTTTGTATATTTTGACTGTTTTTAACTGATAAAAAGTGGATACTAAAAATATTATTTGCTTTTCTTTAATTCTCAAAAATCTAATTTCTCCAAAGCTTTCGAAAAATTTGTTAAAAGCTCACTTATATACTCTAAATAAATAATTTTAACTTTGCAATTCAGTTTATATTAATCTTATAAATATTACACAATGTTACAGTATTTATAATAATCTATATGAAAACATTTAATATTTCTCGAACATTTTATTACGGTACGGAACGTTCTAACAATTTGCCTTAAGGCACGATGCCATATACCACTAGTTACCTTATTATTTATTTTATTTACAGGAGACACTTTGCAAAATTGTACCCTCGAATTAGCAACTTTAGGTGACCTGAAACTGGTAGAAAAACCACAACCGGTTGTTTTGGCTCCGCATGACTTTTGCAACATAAAAGCTAATGTTAAAGTTGCCTCAACCGAAAATGGAATTATATTTGGAAACATAGGTGAGGGGAAAAGTAGTAAGGGACTCTCAAATCCTTTGCAATATATATACTAATTTTTTTTATTTTTTTCTAGTTTACGATGTGACTGGTGCAGCATCCGATCGCAACGTAGTCGTATTAAACGATATCCATATCGATATAATGGATTATATCGTGCCAGCATCATGCAACGATGTCGAATTTAGAACTATGTGGGCAGAGTTCGAATGGGAGAACAAAGTTTCGGTTAATACGAATTTAACAGACTTGCACGAGTATTTGAGGCATTTGATTCAGAGCACTAATATGAAGTGCTTGACACCGGAAAAGGTAGTAAATAACATACTGATCCATATTGTTTATTTTATGTTTTTTTCTATTTTTTAGGCGTTGTCTGGTCAATGTGGCTTCATGGCTGCAAATATGTATGCTCGATCGATATTTGGTGAAGACGCTTTGGCAAATCTTAGTATCGAGAAGCCTTTCAACAAACCTGATGCACCAGTTATTGGACACATTCGTATCCGTGCTAAAAGTCAAGTTAGTACAATAATTCATTTTTAACTTCCCGAAGAAGAAGTTTAGGTTTTCATCAAAAAATCCGATTTGCTAATTAAATTTTTTAATAGATAAAAACATCAATATTTAACTTCCCGTAGGGCAAGTTATAGTAATCGCAAAAAAATCGAAAATGAAAAGTTTTAAATATCTTTACGTTTCAGAGGTTTCTGAATATTTTGGCATACCTTAGAAAAAATGGATGTATGTGTGTGTGTGTGTGTGTGTGCGCGTAGTATGTATGTGTGTGCGGATACAAATTTTCGTCGACGATTTCGGAAACACGGATGAAGCAATTTGAATAATTTAAAAAACATTCGATCCGTATTGATAAGGAGACGTGCTGATTAGTTTTTGGCGGAGGTAGGTCTAGCCGTTTCGAAGATATGGGGCAAAAAGTGCCAAAAACGGTACCTCAGTTTTTAATAGAACGGAGCGTCCGATTTTAATAATTCAAAAAACATTTTACTTGTATTGACAAGATGAAGATTTGATCAAATTTTAATAAGGGCAGGTTTAGCAGTTTCGGAGATATAACGAAAAAAGTAAAATAAAATGCCATTTGGCGGTCAAAAATGATCATTAGACATATGCACATCGAATTATCAGATATTTTATAGAGATTTTAACAATAAGTATAAATTTTGTTTACATTCCTATGGGTTCCGTACCAATGTTTACCCGTTAGACAGCGACGCGGCGCTTACGCGCTTTATATTTTGTCTCTATGCATTTAAAGCAGTACGATTGCTTTGAAAAAAAAGTTCAGATCTTCCAACATATGTCAAAATAAAGAAAACATTTTTTTTTCAAAAATAAAGATTTAAAAAAAAATTATTTAAATTTTTTTTTTTTCAATTTTTTTTTCAAAAAAAGTAATTTTTTGTCAAATTTATAGTTTCTCAAAAATCTCATTTTTTCGAAGTAATTTTTTTTTTCAAAAATGTTAATCGTTTTTTATAAAAATAATAATTTTTGGTACGGGAAGTTCCATCAATTTGCCTTAAGGCACGATGCCCTAATTGCCTTTAGACAGAATTCCACTTACAGCTAGTTTCTTTTCTTTTTTAGGGTATGGCTTTAAGTATGGGTGACAAAATAAATATGACACAGAAAATGCCATTGCAACAAAAAATCTGTGCTGCATAAAAGTAAGATTATTTCTATCCATATATATATTACATTCATTCTATTATTTCATTACTTGATGGTTATTAACAAAAATAATAATTGAATAATAAAATTATTGTAAAAATTGTAAAAATGCAATTTTATTACAAAAATATTATATTTCCATTATGATTCCATTTTTTCTTCTTCTATGTACGATTGTTTTATCAGTTTAACATCACAGAATACACAGAAAGGTTCCGTACTCATCAGTTCAATCCTGGCGATTTTTTCACAAACCAGACACATCAGATGTTCCATTTCTGGTGTGGGCAGCAGCGTTATCATGCAGGAGCTGAAGAGGTGCTTATTCGGACATTTCAGGTCTACTAGATGTGTTTGAAGAGTTAAGGTAAATAGAGTAAATGACCAACAATAAATACATTTTTTTTGTCTGTATTGCTACTTTGGGATATTTGTGTTGACTTCAAAAATATTTACGATTGTAATTATTATTGTGATAATGATATAGCAATTCTGAGTACGAAAATTAAGGCAACATTTTTAGATGTTAAAAATATATATCAATAAAATCAAATAGCAAATAATTTTACTGTCAACTTTTAAATCACTCGAAATTTGTGAAATTTCTTATGTTTTGCTATTATTTCTATGTAAACTGTAAACCGGTTTGTGGGGAAAATACAATTCGATAACTAGTTTTTTGGTGTCAAACATTTTTATTACTCAAAATTTTCTGTTGAGGTCTTTTTTTTAATTATTCGAACACACATTTTTTTAAATGAAATCTCTAAAGCGGTTTTCAGGGTAAATACTATTCGAAAACCGGTTTTCTAAAATGTCAATTTCTGCCAAAAATTTTTTAATCAGTCGAAATTTTGGTTAATTTTTTGTGTGAATTATTTGAGAAAATAGTTTTTCTATGTGAACTCGAAACCGATTTTCCCAAAAATACTTTACAAAAACCGGTTTCCTAAAATGTCGAATTTTATCAAAACTTTTTTTAATCACTCGAAATTTTCTTTTAAAATTTGTGTTTGAATTATTAGAGCAAAAAGTTTTTCTAGGAAAACTAGAAACCGGTTTTTGGAAAAAGTACTGTTCGAAAAGTGCGGTTTTGTAAAATGTCGGATTTTATCAAAACTTTTTTAATCACTCGAAAATAGGTTTTCTATGAAAACTCAAAACCGTTTTTTTTAAAAAGAAATACCGTTCGAAAAGCGGTTTTCTAAAATGCCGATTTTTGTCAATTTTGTTTTAGTCACCTTAAATATTTCATTTTTTTTTTATTTGAACTGCTAATAGTTTTTCTATGAAAACTCAAAACCGATTTTTTGGGAAAATACTGAACTAAACCCGTTTTTTTTAAATGTCTGTTTTTACCAGAACTTTTTAGTCTTTCTATGAAAACTCGAAACCGGTTTTTGAAAAAATTACTGTTACCGGTTATTTAAAATGCCGGTTTTTGTCGAAGAAATTTTAGTCACCTTAAATTTTTCATATTTTTTTATTTGAACTGTTCCAGTAAATGGTCTTTTTATGAAAAATCAAAACCGATTTTTTGGAAAAATATAATTTTAAAACCGGTTTTGTTAAATATCGATTTTTGAAAAAAAAAATTACAGGCTCGATTCTTTCTGTGAAATTCAGGAAAAATAGTATTTGAAAACCGCTTTTCTAAATTCATATCAAATCTATTGAAATTTTGGTTTGAATTGCTTGAGTTAATAGTTTTTCTATTAAAAATCGAAACCGGTTTTTAGGGAAAATACTATTCCAAAATTTCGGATTTTGTATTAGGTTGTCAAATATCTCCCTTCCGCTTTTTTGCTCTTGGTTACATACAAAAAGGCGGAAGGGAGATATTTGACAAGCTATTATATTTTCTTATTACGACTTTGAGATATTTTTTTATTAAAAAGGATATTTTCTTCGCACCATCCACATTTCTCCAGCGGCAAGTCGACTTGAATCGCCGTCGATTTTTCATAACTTTCATTCAATTTCACATACAGCTCCTCTCCGACATGGTCTATATTTTCAGGATCAGTATACTGTTTAAAAAAATCCCTATAATTTCGTAAAATCCTCAAATCCAAAACACTCAACTCTTCGCCCGCACAAAACTTGATATAAAGTCCTTCAAACATTTTGAGAACATGTTCAGCCATGATTTGATCGAATAGCTTTTTGGTAAAAGTTATATCGAAAGGAACAGGCCTGGCTTGTCTCTTTACAACATTATCCAACTCCGACGACAACCAGTACAAAATCTTTTTTTCGTAAATCGGAAGCGTTTTGGAATAGCAAGGCCATTCCAGTAGTGATTTCTGCTTAATAACTTTAAGCCTAACATAGTCCATACATTCCCAAACATCTGCAAGTCTTCTCTCAGGATTATTCTTCAAAGTATCGATAGGATTAAATCTTTTACAAGAGTAGAATTTTATTGACGAAGGTTGTTTTAACACAAGGTGGTCGTAGACTTTTAAAGGGCTTTGGAAAAAGGCCCAAATCGATCTGGATTTCGAGCAGGTTATGCCGAAGGTGCCAAAGTTGGGGTCTTGAGGGATTGTTAGGTTTTGGCGATCCAGCTGTAATTTGTTTTCTGGGTTAAGGGATAGTTGTATGTTGGTTAGGGCTCCAGATACTGAAGATACTACGAATTCTTGGTCTGTAATGCGCTTTATACCTGGAAAAAAATAATATACACATTAGGGTGGTCCTTAATATGGATATTTTCCAATTTCTTTCCTCCTAAGAGCTCAAATGATAAAAAACAATTATCTAAAAATTATAGCTTTTAATATTAACATTTAGATAGTCTGCTCTTATATATATACTAGCGGGCCCGGCAATTAAAAGAAAATTGGTAACAAAATTAAAAGAAAGTGTTAGGGGTGAACAAACTACTATCTGCTTGTTACTTTTTGTACTAAAAATTTCCTAGAAATATTTTTATGGCTGAACAAAGTATATATATATATATATATATATATATATATAATATAATATAATATATATTAGGGTGGTCCTTAATATGGACATTTTTGAATTTCTTTGCTCCCAAGGGCTCAAATGCTTCCAAATTAATAAAAAAAAATCTCTAAAAATTTAAGCTCTTGATACTAACATTTGGGTAGCCCGCACTTTTATATATACGTGGTCTGTTCAAAAAGTACCCGGAATTACTAATAATTAAATTTCGCGGGTCTGGAGTGTCTGATTGTCAAAATTTTTTTTTTATTGTGTTGGTATACATGCCCCTAAAGTATGATGAAATTTTCAGCTATATTCACTGTTTACTTTGTCTGTGGTAGTCGCTAAGGTTCGACGTGTTTTTCTGAGTTCGGCGATTTTTACAATGGAAGAATTGAAAAGTCAAAGAATTTGTATTAAATTTTGCGTAAAAAATGAAATAAAGTGTTGCAAAGTGCAAAAATTCACCAGATATGGCTCCGTGTGACTTTTTCCTATTCCCAAAGTTGAAGAGACCCATGAAAGGACGGCGGTTTTCCTCGATTGAAGAAAATCGCTGAGAGTGCTCAAGGACATATCAAAAAGTGAATATCAAGGGTGCTTCGAAAATTGGAAAAAACGCTGGCATAAGTGTATTATATCTGGGGGGGACTACTTTGAAGGGGACCACATTAATGTAGACGAATAAATAAATATTTTTTTGAAAAAACGAAAATTCCGGGTACTTTTTGAACAGACCACGTATACTAGCAGGCCCGGTAATTAAAACAAAATTGGACCCAAAATTAAAAGTAAGTGTTAGGGGTGAAAAACCTACTATCTGCTTGTTACTTTTTATTCTAAAAATTTTCCAGAAATGTTTTTTATGTTAACAATATATATAATGGTATAAATAATATAATATAAATAATAATAATATATATTGTTTCTTTTCCGAACAATAAAAACAATTTGTTTTTTGAAGATGTTTAATAACGACGTTTCGGAACTAGATACGTTCCATCATCAGGTTTATTCTGTCAAATAATTATAATTTTTCTGAATAATCTATAATAACCAACATTAATTAATGTTAGTCAATTGTTTTAAAAAAAAATTTTATTTGACAGAATAAACCTGATGATGGAACGTATCTAGTTCCGAAACGTCGTTATTAAACATCTTCAAAAAACAAATTGTTTTTTATTATTGGATTTACTGTTCGGAAAAGAAACAATCAATATATTGAAAAAATCCAGGACTTATCTATTGTATATATATATATATATATATTATATATATATATTATATATATATATATATATATATATAATTCAATATTAAGAGCTAAAACTTCCAGGGATTTTTTTTATCAATTTGGAAGCATTTGAGTCCCTGGAAGCAAAGAAATTCGAAAGCATCCATATTAAGGACCACCCTAAATATATATATATATATATATATATATATATATATATATATATATATATACATAATAAATCTGTATTTCTTTACCCGTAATATAAGGCACAACACTAGTATGTACAGTATGCAAAACACCTAATTCTTTATCTAACAAAACTGCTATAAAGAAACTCCCTTTCACAATAACCAATGCCAAATAATCATCAAAGCGAGCCATTTTAAAACTCTTTATCTTAATATTATCCTCGTCCCCCCAAATAGTTTTCGGTTTTTCCACTTCATCCTTTATCCCACTCACAAAAACTTTGCCATTCGTATAACCCATAAAAAGGTAATCCTTATACCAATACAATGTCGATACACATAAATCAAAATGTTTGAATTTAAATTGCAACTCGGGTGCAAAATTAGGATGTTCATAATCAATTTGCTCAATTTTCCAAACAGCAATATGACCACTCGTATGCCCTGTTACTAAATAACAATATCGGTCTTTGTAAGGGCTCCAGACAAGTGTAGAAATATGCAATTCGAAAGCACGTTGTTTGTGTGCTTCATATGACCCAGTCATATTAGTCGCTGGATGATTCCATTTTGGTTTAATTTCATCCAACCAGAACTGGTTTATACTACCGATTGCATAAAATTTATGCAAATG